ACGACTAGTTTTGTGAACAAGGAAGATAAAAGCTAGTGATTGTGTCCTACTTTTGTGGTGATTTTTTTTTTATTAGGTGTTATAGTATTGTATCAGAAGATGTTGATTCTTGTTCGTCCGTTTCTCATAAGTGTTTTTTCTTGGGGTTAGGCCAGACTATGGAACCGAATTCAAACAGACCAAATTAAATGTACAATTCTAATGTTTTCTCGTGTAGCAAATATTAGTTTCTAATTTGTTTGGATTGAGATAATGATAATTACTTTTCAATTTTTGACCAAAAGAATTACTTTCAATTGTCTTTTTTTACTTCAAGGAATTTATAGAAAATGCATTAATAGTTTTTTTCCTTTAAACCTGTATATTGTTTAAAAAAGTTTTTCATATCCAGGTATTTAAATTTATCCTATTAAATATTTAAACCAAGGAAAAATCCTCAATAATCATAACGTTTGTAGTTAAAATTATCGGCCTTAGTGAGCTATATAGGTATTTGTAAAAAATCTTTGATTATGTAACGAAAATGGCCGAATGGATACGTGATGCATCATAAAATACGTGTGTTTATCTATCAGAGTTTGGTGATTCATGCACCTTTAGTTGCAAAAAAATTTGTCAGTAATTCTTATCTATGATAAACAGAACATTATAATTGGAAAACACAATCCGGTTTTATCTCCTAACTTCTCTACGAATCACAAATTCTTCATAATTTCCTATTTTTGTCTTATTTTATCTAAAAACATTCAACCTATAAATACTCATCAAGAAATTCATCTTACTCATAATTTCTTTTTTCTTCTTTTTCAATATGGCGAGAGTTTCTATTTTGTTATGTTTGGTTCTATTGATTACATTAGGAGTTGTGATTAGTGTCTCATTTGCCGACAACATTGAAGTGAAATCAACGGAACATAACATTGAAGTGAAATCGTCGGAACATTCGGAGAGCAGTAAGAAAGAAAAGAATGTTGATCATTATAGTAAACACAAAGAGAAAGGAGGAGAAAAGGTAAATAATGATCAGAATCTCAATAAAAAGGACGAAAAGAAAGAGCATGATGATCTGCATAAAAAGAGTGATCAAC